AGCCCAGAAGGCCAACCACATCCTGGGATGTTTCAAGAGAAGCGTTGTCAGCAGGTCAAGAGAGGTGATTCTCCCCCTTTACTCTGCTCTTGTGAGACCCCACCTCGAATACTGTGTCCAGTTCTGGTGTCCCCACCATAAGAGAGACATAGATTTGTTGGAGCGTGTTCAGAGGAGGGCCACAAAGATGATCCAAGGGCTGGAGCACCTCTGCTACGAGGACAGGTTGCGGGAGCCTTGAAAAGAGAAGACTTCGGAGGGACCTAATAGCTGCCTTCCAATACCTGAAGGGAACCTACAGGAAGGCTGGGGAGGGACTTTTTACAAGAGTGTCCACTGATAGGACAAGGGGAAATGGGTTTAAGTTGAAGGAGAACAGATTTAAATTAGATCTTAGGAAGAAATTCTTCAGTACGAGGGTGGTAAGACTTTGGAATAGATTGCCCAGAGAAGTTGTGGATGTCCCCTCCCTGGAGGTGTTCAAGGCCAGGTTGGACAGAGCCTTGAGTAGCCTGATCTAGTTGAGAGGCATCCCTGCCCATGACAGGGAGGTTGGATTAGATGATCCCTAAGGTCCCTTCCAGCCTATGCCATTCTATGATTCTATGATAATGACTTACATATAAAGAGCCTATAAAAATACGTAACTGCCAGGTCTATAGTCTAATATACCACTCAATAACTTACATGCAACGGTTACAGTATTTGCAATTTTGGTCCCCATGTCAGAAAATAAGAGAAGGCTAAACCGATTCCTATTTTAGCATGAGATGCAAGATAATCCTTACCTCTGGGCAGGGAACAAAAACAGGATTATCCCATTCTGAAAGCAACGACTGGAGAGACTCCCCTTCAGCATCTAGGAAAGAACGCATAGATAATACAGGGACTAGCACCATCCTTCAATAGAAGGTGCATTGGGTACCTCTGCCTCACATAAGTATTACTTTTCTTTTTTCCATCATAAAAAGGGGAGAATGTAGAAATAGATAGTGGAACAGGAGACTGGGCTTCTCTATTGTCTGCTTTAACTAGGAAGGACACTGTGCAGCTTTCTGACTCCTAAACATACTGCAGCACAATTCAACAGGCCCTGGAAATGGGGTGGGGGGTGGCGGGGAGAGGGAAAGAAAGACCTGTTCAGCTACCCACTCCCTGTGGACAAAGCCACATACCAAAAAGATGATTTCATCCTTTCCACCACAAAAAAAAAAAGTGAGGATTGAAGCTATTTTTCACATTCCAAGGTTGGAACAAGTACAAAGAAGGGAGTAGGTAATTATTCTTAATCTACTGACATAATTCAACAAAGAACTGGGTATTTCATCCTGTAAATAAGTACCCCCTAACCTGCCTTCAACCCTAAAACATTTTTTTTTCCAGTTCTAGATTTGAGATGACTCACACAGTTCCATTGTTAACAGACCTTGAGTAATTCTGGGTTCCTGTTAGGACATCTGGGAGAATTCTTTGATTTTTTTTTTTTTTTTTTTAACACAGAACACTGTGTCCTGGAAAGCTGGCCCTACCTCTCAGATCCTGGCTTGCTAGAGTCTTCTCTTTTCGAGGTCTAGGAAGGAAGGGTTGCACAATCTCACTTCTAAAGGGATGGCACCTGAACTGAATCCCTAAACACAATATAAATTTACTGCTGCAGATTCAACAGAATGTAAAATTACAAAAAGCTATATAATTATTATATTCTCACAAACGAGCGTGTGCTTGGCCCTGTACAAATCAGAGTATTCTGCAGATTTTGCAATCTAACATTGAGAAATAACAGCATACATGTAAAAAGCTGAGAATTATCAGACACACTTGCATCAGGAAATGTATTATTTTAAAATATTACCATGGCTTCTGCAAGACTGTCCTTCTTAAAAATTGGTTGCTGGTTTAATCACATAAGAATTATTTCCAGAATTAGTGCAATTAAAAGTGTTATCCCCAAAGGAAAGAGGAGGCATATAGTAAAGTCTGTCAGACATCAAAACACTTTTGACTTCCCTCTGTTAAGGTGTGGCAAAACTGTCAATCTATCACCACTCTTATCAATACTCAATACAGTTATCAGGAACTTGGAAAACTAAAAACTACAAGTCAGTAAGACCACATGAGATATCAGAATAAGCTTAATAACCTGTTCCTACCCACCCAGAAATGATTTAATGATATTACAAACCAGCACTGTTATCAAGATTATTAAGAAAAGTGGCTCAGATTTCCAGCACAGTGGTAAACATTTCACCCTTCCTTTGGTACAATTCAGACTTCTATTCTTTGTGAAATAATAATGAATTAATAAAGTTCCTTTCTACTAAGAAATTAAGGGTGTGCATTCAGGAAAAGTGGCGGAGTGATAAAGTCAAAGAAAACCAGCTGTGTGCTGATAAGCTCAGTATGAAAAGGCTCTATGAGATCCTAGGCCAGCCCGTAGACTGTTTTCTCCATTCCAGTAAGGACCAATGACGGCCATACCCTGGGGACTGAGAATCTTTTCAAGAATCCAAACTGGCAGCCCAGCATGGGAGAGTAACTCAGCATCCCAGCAATCTGTGGCAAATTGAAGAATGCTACTTAATTCAGTCTTTCACAGAACTTTTACAGCTATTATCACTGAAAAATATTATCCCTCAAAGTTTACACAAGCATCTGTCATCTGTGAACAAAAGTCCAGTACTTTATACACAGAATCATAAACAAAGATTAATTTCCTTGCTTTTTGTGGCAGGGAAAATCCTTGTTAAGGACAGGTATTTTTCATAAAGTTAGGATTTTCTTGTCCAAAGGCCAGTGAGAATTCAGAGCTGGCAGAGATATTATTAATATGAATTTTCTGATAAGTAACATCACAAAAGGTGTTGAGGGTAATAATGTATCTACTTTATACATGCAAACCACATGCAATTACCACACTTGAGTATTTGTTTTCAGTTGCCTCAATTAGATCATTAAAATATGCTGGCGTAATGACCTATCAGTCAATAATGTAATAAAAGTATCAAAAAACACAAACGTAGCTGGCCTAACAGTGAAGACCAAGATGAACTGGGATGTAAACTTACTACAAATACGTAGCATTAGATTATTCAAAAAGGCATCTGATGGTGAAATGAGGCTTGATAAATTTTCCTGTGGCCATCAATTTAATCGGCACAAAGATGCCCGAGTCTAACCTAGAAAATCTAGCATTTCTGTTGTGCACATGGCATGCAACTGGAAAAAACAGCAGATGGGCACTGCTGTCATGGAAAAGAGATATGGATTCTTACCTCCTTCCACCTGCCACCAACCAGTGTAATTTCCCTAAATTTGTGTATGAGATGCTGTTCTTAATAAATCACGGGGTTATGAAATTCTAAGTCAATACCACCGGGTTACTGACACTACTCTAAAAAGCAAAATGAAAGCATACATGGCAAGTGAAGAAATTATTCCACTCCTGGGTCTTAAGAGAAGTCCAAACCATCCTTCAACATCAAGAGACAAGAATGCTGTGTTAGGACACAGTTATGTTTATTCCTATTACTAAAAAGAATGAATATCCTTTGCTTGAAAAATGTGTGAAAGAACATGTTTGTTGAACTTTGGAAATCTAAGATTTATAGGGTCTAGCCAGAGTCCAAACACACTGTGAAGGTTTGAGAGGTCCAACCTTCAAGCTAAGAAAAGTAAAAAAGCTGCAGTAGACATCTCACCAAAGAGTAACACCACTGACAGAGTTAAGAGTGACACCATTGATACGATGGAGAGCAACACCAATGATAAACCTAAGAGAGGACAATGCCATTGGAGATGAAAAGATGCAACACAATATACATCTTCAAAGACTATAGACTATACATAATCTGAAAGCATAAGGGCACGTGAGGTGTTCTCTTCATAAGCATGAATGCGCTATCCAAACATTTTGGATAGAAGATCAAGCTCCACATCTCAGTGCTTTGGCTAGCTACTAAACAGCACTGTGGGCAGCCCAAATCGGTAAACCACAGAAATTAAAAGTGCTAGTCAAGGAGTGTACATTTGTGCTTGCAAGTAATTTTACTTAATAAAAACAGAGATGCTCTTCTTGTAACAAACTTACTTTAGTGGAACACAACAGGCATTATGAATTATTGTTAATAAGGAATAGCTTAACAACCAAAACACCTATTGCACCAATGGTTCTATGACTGGTGATAAAGAAGGAAGTGACAGACAAAAATGGAAAAAACAGAGGCTATCGTGATTGATTCAACAATTATTTCACAGGAGAACTATCTAGAAAAAGGTCCAAACTACTTTTTCAAAACAAGTTATACAGTGGAAAATACGGTCTCCATGACGAACGGCTGCATCTTTGCTCATAAAATCTGCCCACGGACAGACTGAGGAACAACTTTGAACAAAGATATATCCATTGAAGGGAAAATTATCAAAGACACTATTTGCCAAATGAGATCAGGAGGACACAGAAAGCCAAATTCGACAGACAGATCAATGAAGACTGATGAACAACACAATGCTGAAAAACCAATACAATGTAGTGTCCCGTCAGCCCTGGAAAAGCTCCATCATCAAACCACCAACAAAGCTGTATAACATCTCCTACAAATCTAAGGATGAAGGAACAACCTTCCAAAATCTGCAGAAAAGAGACTACAGGTTCTCAATTAAAAAGTTACATTTTTGTTAATTTTTCAAGGGTTGTTTTAAATGTTGTATCCCTTCAGGACAAAATGTTAAAAACCACAAATTTTTTTCTAGTACGCTTAAAGTGTGCCTCTCACTTTATATATGACAACAATTACATATAACTGTGATTATAGTAAATGTCATGATGCTGTCTGTTAATTGACAAGGTGTTGACACTTCTTTTTACTGTCTTATTAAAAACTATCTTTTAATATCTTGAATGTTAATGTGTTACTGTCTCCACAGTCTCCACCACTGTCCTGTTTTTCATACAGGTATTAGAAGTAAGGCAGTGGATATTTCAGTACAAACTGTCAGGTGCTGTCAGCAAGATATTTTATGCACCTAGCAGAACAGTTTTCTTCATCCCATTTGTACAACCACCACCATCATCCCTCTTACCGTTCGCTGAGACAACATTTACAGCCATTGTTGTTACATCTTGAATGCAGGCAGCTCGAAATCCTTCGGTAGGAGGAGTGCCGTAGGTGCTCAGTCCAGTTGCTCTATTGATGTATATCGTCTTACCCGACGAAACATCAAAATCTTGCAGCCAGTCAGAACACCACAAATTATTCCTGGGGTCACCTGTGCTTGTGTTGTCTGCAGAGAATTCCAAGTTACTTGGGAAGGTCCTATGGGGAACCTCAGTATCTTTCAAATTTTGTTCTGAGGATTCAGCTAACGTACCTTTATCTTTACAGGTGACGTCAGTACAATCCTTTTTAGCAGGTAATGATAAAACACTGCTTGAAGAGACTGTGTACTCCCCTTCCATGCTGCTGAGTGGTGACGGGCTGACAGTGATTTTCATGGACTTTGCTCTCGTACCGTCTGATTGCGAGCACGCATCCACCTCAGAAATGCTGTAATTACATCCCTTCATTTTTTCCACTGAGGATTTATACGTTTGACAAGCGTCAAACAAAAAATCAGTATTTGAAGATTCAAGATCAAAATGGTAGTCATCTTTCCTACTTGAATCTGTTTGGAATTGTTCACCAAGTTGTTCTGCTTCTTTGAGGTCACTTTTCATTCTGGACAGTTTGGATGATAATGATCCTGGAGATCTTTTACAACTTGTGCTATTTTTACTAACCTGACAGTAATCAGACAATGTCAAAGGACTCTGACAAAGGGCTCGTTTGTCCTGTGACGTTTCTCTACTGCAGTTCTCTTCCAGAGAACCAAAAACTTGGCTACTGTTATTAGAATCTATATACTCCAAAGCTGACGTTTCACAAGTGCTCACACTACTGTGGTTGTCATTCTCATTCTTTGAAAAGTCACAATTAGCTTGTGAATTAAAAACTGGGAGACCAAATTCACTCTGCTCTGACAATGGTGCTGGTAGCGTACGCTTGACTTTCCCATAATATCTCCTGAACTTTTCTAAAGAACCCAGCTGTGTGGACAAGCTCAGCTTCTTAGAGGGCTGAGATCTTGGCACAGCTATTTGTCTTTTCATGCTTTTTATAACTTTATTGTGAGGAACAATTGAAGAGGTTGCCAACAGCAATTCTGTAACATTCGATGTCTCATAATGTCTTTTACTGGTGGCAACAGGCATAGCTGTCCCCTGGCTCACTTGATTTGACAAAGTTTTGTTCTCTAACCACTCATTACCATCAGCCATGCATACTTCTCTAGTGTAAGGAGATGTATATTCTTTATTGGAATTACTGGAAACATCCTTAGCATTTAAAGACTGGATGGGAAAACTCACTTTGTGGCCAAAAATATCCTTGGCACTGACAGGGCCAGGTCTACACCGCGCGGTTAATGCAGGATTTGTTTCTGTTTGTTCATATTCCTGTGGGGGTTCATGGTGCCTAACACGCGTTATGAGGCCTGCAGAGCACAATTTTACCGGTACTGAAGTAACAGCCTCTCTTCCAGCATCATCTATCACTTCAGCTCTTTCCCCGTCTCTTCTTCGTGCATTACACAGTCTCATCAAGGAAGTTCCAGAGACAGTTGCTGGTCCCATTGCTGTGTCAGTAGAGTCTTCTCTCTCAGGCGATAACTGAATAACATCATGGTTTACCATATGGACCGTACTACTTTTCTGCGCTACTTTGCCTTGCTGGCTTCCCACATCTTTTATGTAATTCTCTGCACAACGCTGCAGGTCACTACAACTGTCTGGTTTCTTTGTTTCTGATCTGGCCCCTCCACTAAAAGAGGACTGACGATGCTCTGAAGGTTTCAGATGAGTATCAGACGCTTTTTGGGAACTGTTGATGTCTTTTGGCTCCTGCTCTGAGATATTTGATATAACGAAATCAGAAGCTGTGTCATCTTTGCTGGGCTGTGGAATCTCCACTTCGTTGTTTCTACATGGATCAGATGGTTCAGCAATCTTCTGATCTGGGGCGATTCCAGTTTCCTGTAGATTTTTATTTGACTCTGTAAGATTCCAAGATATTTTTCCAGTCCCAGATTTCCTTTTGACATCTTTTGATTGCAAGTTACACATTTGATAGGAATCCACGATTTCATCACATGCTTTCTTAAAATTGTCTTGGATGCTCTTCTCATCGCAGAGCGAGGGCTTCAGAGCTGGAGCATTATACAAACAAAAGTCATTATCTTCATTAAATTCTCTGATGTCCTCACTACATGGTTCAATAAATAAATGTTCTCGTTTCAAAAATATTTTCACTCCTTCCTCTATGCAAGTTAGAAGTACCTCCCAGTTCTGGAACTCAATTAGAGTTTTTGCAGGTTCCAGACACACATCATAGTCACTGTATGCACAGGTCACGTTGAGAATAAAGATCCCGTACAACTCTGAGCCAGAACGATGACGACCAGGACTTGAACTAGCCTGTCTGCTCACAGGGCCACTTTTTGCCTTGCAAATGACACTTTCTTTTCTTAATAAAAAATCAATCAGTTTATGTAGTCTTGTCTTTAAAACAAGCCTTCTATTCACATACAAGAACTGCATATTCTTGTTGTAATGTCCCTCAATACTGATATAACCACTTAGCTCAAATTCCCCAGATTTATGATTTATTTTTCGTAACTTCTGCGATCTGCCCAGTCCATAAATTTGACAAAATCGAGAGTATACATCTCTTGTCTTAGGGAGCTGAAGCACCATAGAACAAGAAACGTCATTCCTTAAAGAAAGTGAAACAGAGGGATGCATCAGTGAAACAGCCTCCACTTTCTGTCTCACTCTCTCAAACTCCAACACAGGATCCATACACTTTCTCCTCACTGGTAATTGATGGAACAGATTACACACGGTCACTGTAGTTCCGCCACTTGGTCTACTCGATTCAGCTTCGCAGACTTCCAGTGCTTGCCCATTGTGAAATAGCTTCACAAATGTTTTTGCCGTCTTGCTGGTCTTAGATGAAACTTCCACTACACTGGCCATGTTGGCTATGCTTGCCACAGCCTCCCCTCTAAAGCCGTAGAACGTCAGGTTCTCCAAGTCTCCCACTGAACTGCACTTGCTGGTGAAGTACCGCTTTCCCATTGCGTTTAAGTCCTCTTTCCCCATCCCGGAGCCGTTGTCCACCACCTGGACCTTCAAAGCTTCCAGATCCACCCTGATAGCTACACATGTTGCTCTGGCATCAATGCTATTGAGGACAAGCTCCTCGACACACTGCCCCAGTGAGTTGATAGTCACTCCAGAACGCAGCCTGGCTCGCACATCTTCCGCCAGACATTTGATCATGTCAAAATCAGATAGATGAGAAACCCAAGAAACTGCAGGGCGATCACTCTTCCATGTTCCTTAAAACAACCTTCTGGGTGGAGAGGGAAAAAAAAAAAAAAAGAAAAAGAAAATAAATACAAATGAAAGGCCTGAAAAAAACTTTCATTTATTGCATTCACCCTCATAAATATACTTTTGTTAATTTTCCTGGTATTCAGAGGCTTTTTCTGTGATTACTTTCCTGCTCAGGCTTTGATTACACATCATTAGTGCCTTCAGGGTAGGTGGCCAGAACCCCAGTCTATGCTCCTTACTAACAACACGGGTGATTCTCAAACTTAACAGAATTCCAACCATGATACAGCTAAACTCAAATGACCTGCAAGTAAAAGGCTTCTGCTTCCATTTTTATCAAAAATATATAGAAGGTATCACCAAGAGGCAGGCACAGAGCTGCTTTCCTCTCATTTTTACCTCAGTTTCCTCACATAAATCCAGAGTGTCGCATTCTGGCCAAAGAGCATCTGCTGTAATTCAACCAAGAAAGGAATAAAGCAGACTTGGGAATGGCTGTGGAACACTGAGTAAGAGAAGCC